CCTGGAAGTCCTGATCCTCCTGATCCTCCTGGCCCTCCTAGACCGTCTGGTCCAGTGCCGTAAGCACCATATGGTAATGATCCATATAATCCACTCGAGGACTGTCCAACACCAGGAGCTCCAGGTCCTCCGGGTCCATTCGGTCCACTGCCATATACACCAAATGGTCCGTACGATCCGTATGGCCCTCGGGAGGACTGCCCACTGCCGGCACCACCAAAATCGACGAGTCCTGATTGAGGACCTAATCCTCCTGGACCACCTGGTCCGCTGCCATCAACTCCAATCGGTCCGTAAGGTCCGTATGGTCCTGTGAGGGACTGTCCACTGCCCGTACCACCAAAACCGATGAGTCTTGATTGGGGACCTAATCCTCCTGGTCCACCTGGTCGGCTGCCATCAACGCCAAATGGTCCGTATGGTCCTCTGGTGGTCTGCCCACTGCCGACGCCACCAGCACCGGTGAGTCTTGATCCCAGGCTTCCCGGTCTGCCAGACAATCCCGATTCTCCTAGTTTGCTTGATAATCCACGTCCTCCTAGTCCTTGTAGCCCGCCTGGAAGTCCTGATCCTCCTGGCCCTCCTAGACCGTCTGGTCCACTGCCGTAAGCACCATATGGCAATGATCCATATAATCCACTCGGGGACTGTCCGACACCAGGAACTCCAAGTCCTCCTGGTCCATTTGGTCCACTGCCATATACACCAAATGGTCCGTACGATCCGTATGGCCCTCTGGAGGACTGCCCACTGCCGGAACCACCAAAATCGATGAGTCCTGATTGAGGACCTAATCCTCCTGGTCCACCTGGTCCGCTACCATCAACTCCAAATGGTCCGTATGGTCCGTATGGTCCTGCAGAGGTCTGCCCACTGCCGGCACCACCAGCACCGATGAGTCTTGATTGCGGACCTAATCCTGCTGGTCTACCTGCTCCGCTGCCATCAACGCCAAATGGTCCGTATGATCCGTATGGCCCGTACGGTCCGTACGGTCCGTATGCTCCTTTAGAGAATTGCCCACTGCCGGCGCCACCGAAACCAATGAGTGAGTTTGAATGAGGACCTAATCCTCCTGGCCCATCTGCTCCGCTGCCATCAACGCCAAACGGTCCGTATGGTCCGT